CCCCACCTGCCGCCAGCCTGGGCCTCCGGGGCCTTGGCCCTTACCTGCCTGCTCCTTGCCCTGCCACGGTCTCCAGAGCCCCCTTCCTCCCTGCGCCCCCGCTGCCTTGGGTCAGTCTCAGCTGGTCTGAGTCTCACTCTTGGCAGAGGGCCGGGGCTGGGGTGCACCTCAGACCGTGTGGGGTTGGGGGCGTGGAGGGAGGGGTCCTCGGCAGTCTAGAGGCTGTGACTGGCCATCTGGGCAGGCTTCCTGAGGAGGTGGCAGCCACAGGCTGAGGAACTTGGGGCGGGAACAGGCCATGAATGCCGTGTGTGGCTGTGGTCAGGGAGGGTGGGACCAGGACGCTGGGGCCCCCAGACTAGTAGCTTTGCTGTATGGCGGGTGTGCCGTCTCTCCAGGGCTCTCCGCGGCTTGTGTGGGCCCCGCCTCATCCAGGACTGAGCACAGCGCCCTCTGGTGGTGTTGTCCGGCAGGGAAGGGGCCCCACAACCTCCTGCAGCTGCTGGGTGGCCGGACTCCCTACACAGAGCCGTGGAGGATCATGGGCCCCGCAGGTGCCCAGAGCCTGGCTTCGCACGGCGTTGGGGACATCCCATCGAGGACCTCAGAGCCCGCGGCCAGCCCTCCCCTGAGCAACCGTGCAGGGGTGAGGGTGGATGTGGACGCCAAGGTGGGGCAGTGTCGACCACACGGCTTCCTTTAGGGGGGCAACCCGCCCCCACATCTGCTTCTAGGCTTCCCGTTCAGGAAGGAGCCGAGCCCTGGGCTGGCACGCGGCAAAGCCAGGTTGCAGAGGGGGCTTGCTGGAGCTGGACGTGCCAGCCCCCCTCCGGTCACGTGCCAGGTCCCACAGCCCCCGCCTATCCGAGTCCTGCCCGAGGCCTGTCCCAGACACATGTGCCGAGCGCACAAGCCTCACCACTGGGCTTCTCCGTGCAGCCCTCTGGCTGGCCGGGGCTCTGGCTCCTGGGTGGGCTGCTGGCCTCCTCCTACCCCTGCCTCCCCAGCAGACAGAAGGTCCTGCCCGTGGGGCCAAGGCAGGACACAGCCGCCCCTGCTCTGCCCATGGCTTTTCCGATGTCCAGCCTCTGCTCACCCCAGGGGCAATGTGGGCCTTCCAGGCTGTGGAAGACCAGGCCACAGCCTGTAGGCAAGTGTGTCTGCTTAGGGGTGGTGGGGACAGCCTCTGGAGGTGTCACCCAGGCAGCGAGGGCTGGCATTGGCCCATGTGCATGGACCCTGTGCAGTAGCCTGGCCGTGGGATGCTTGTCGGGGAGGCTGTGACAGCCTCACATGTCCCACCTGGTCACTGGTCAGGGCAGAGCCGGGGAGGGGCCGCAGGCCTCGAGGGGCTAGGTGGGCCGCTAACAGCCTAGAGAGGGCCTGGGAGATGGGACAGTGGGCAAGCCCCGGGGGGCAGGAGGGGAGGGAGGCCAGGCATGACCACACCTGGGGACCGAGGTCGAGCCCCCCACCTGAGCAACCTCACGTCCGAGGTCAGCACTGTGGGGACCCCACGTCAGGTGGCCTGTATCAGGCCAGCTGTCCTGCACCGGCTCTGGCCAGGCCCCAGGCAACCTTGGCATGTCTCCAGACTCAGTTTCCCCTTTGAAAATGCAATTTGGAAGCCAGCCCGCTCTGCCAGGGAGCCTGGGGCAGCCTTGGCGTCTCTGCCGAAGCCACACCGGCAGCCCGCACAGGAGCCAGGGCCTGGCCACACCAACCCGGCCGCCAGGGCCCTGGCTGCTCCTGGGCGTCTCCCCGGGGGTGCCTCACCTCTGGGCTGAAGTGGGATTCATATCGTTCAGAGGGTGGCCCTGGTGTCTGGGGGGCTGCCGTCCCAAGCCCCCGCACAGCACCTGACGATGCCACCACTGGGTTGCTACAGTGACAGAAGCCTGGGGGGCCCAGCCGGAGTGAGGACATGCTGTCGGGGGCCAGAGCAGAGAAGGTGCAGGCTGTGGACAGGCACTGAGAGGATGTGGGGTGTCAGCAGAGACCCCAGGCTGAGCCCAAGGGGTGGGGGTGGGCGGCCAGGGAAGCCCACCAAGGAGCCAGGGCCTGGCAACATTTTACAGCCAATGGTGCCCTCTGCTGGCCATGCTGACTATCACCCCGGCTGGGCTCCTGCCCAGGAGAGGGCCACTGAGCAGCCTTGGGACCAGCAGCTTCCTGCCATCCAGCCTGGCCACACGCCTGCGCTGTGGCCTTGAGCATGGCCCCTGCACAGGTCCCTTTCCCTGCCACAGGCCTGGACATCACCCAGACGGCCGTCCAGAGGCCGCACTCAACCCCCCTCAATGCCCTGGGGGAGAGCCGCTGGGACCTGGAGGGGGGAGACACCAGGGCCTGGCTCTCAGGCAGTGGACAGTGGTCTCAGATGTGCTGGGGTCTCCGGGGCACTTCCCCAGGCTCCACACCCCCAGGACTGGCCACAGGGCCACAGTCGGGGCAGGGGGCTGCCTTCGGACATCGGGGTGACGCCGTGTAGGACAGCACCCCCAGCCCAACCGGCCTCGGAGTGGCCAGAGCCTGGTCTGTCCTGCTCGGGGCTGACAGGACATTGGGGTGACAGGATCCCTTGCCTACAGCTGGAGCCACAGGGGCAGGGAGGACAGGGCTGGCTTGACTGTTCCTTTAAGAGGACGGTTCTGGCCACCTGAATGTCCCCTCCCCCGCCACTCCATGGGGAGTTGCCCAGCAACAGGAGGCCCTAGTGTGTACAGTGTCAGGGCTGGCCACGGAGCGGCTGGGGCTGCCCTGCTGACCACAGGCCAGTGGACCCAGTGACCCTCCCTTGCCCCACCCTGGCTGCCTGGGTGTACCGGCACCATGGCACAAACCAACCTGCCCCTGACCAAGCAGCCGGCCCCGCAGACGGTGCCGCCGTGCGAGCTGCCCCTCAAGGTCTACGATGTGGCACGTAACACGGGCCCCTACACGTCCGCGGGCCTGGCCACCGCCGGCTTCCGCACGGCCAAGTACCTGGCGGACGAATGGTTCCAGAGCTGCTACGCGCGCTACCACCAGGCCTTCGCGGGACGCAGCCAGTCGGAGCAGCAGCGGCACGAGAGCCGGCAGCTGGCGGCGGAGACGGAGGCGCTGGCCCAGCGCTCGCAGCAGGACTGCACACGCAGCGTGGGCGCACGGCTGCAGGACACACACTGCTGGAAGGCAGAGCTGCAGCGCCAGGTGGACGAGCTGGTGGCCGAGACCGACCTGCTGCTGGCCCAGAAGCGGCGGCTGGAGCGCGCCCTGGACGCCACAGCGCTGCCACTCTCCCTGGCCACCGACAACCTGCAGTGCCGTGAGCGCCGGCAGCACCCCGACCTCGTGCGCGACCCCGTGGAGATGGAGCTGCTGAAGGTGCAGGCCTTGCTCCACGGCTGCACTGCCCGGGCCCCCGGTCCTCCGGCATGGGGCGGGCATGGAGGGGCTCTGGTCCCTATGCCCAGAGAGCCATGCCCTGTGCATGTGCAGGGCGCCGGGGCCTGGAAACCTGGCCCTCAGTCATGGTGGGCCCTCCGAGCATCCCCACCCCGCTCCCGGCTCACAGGACTTCACAGCCAAGACTGACTGAGCTCTGAGTCTGGGCCGCACGACCTCCCGGGCTCCGCCGGGCTGTGGGGGGCGCAGAGCTCTCACCACAGCGACCCCTCCCGCAGCCGTCCGACCAGAGTCCAGCATGACCTGTCGTTGGGGCAGCCCAGGCTGCCCAGAACTGCACAGCTCTCTGCCCCTCGGAGCCGGGGCTCGCCTGGGGCAGGACGGCCGTGGTCTGTGGAATCAGTGAAAGACCAGCTACCGGGGCCTGGAGTGGGCCGGGGCCTGGAGTGGGCCGCTGCTGGTTCAGGCTAACTCAATCCCCTCCTCCTGCCCACCCCCCAGGCTCAGGGAAGGGGCACAGACCCCGGGGACAGGGATCGTGGGATTGGCCCCTGGTGCGGTGACCTAGAAGGTGGTGGAGGTAAAACTCAACCCCAGAGAGAAGGGGTGTTCACACCGAGACCCCGGCTTCCCTCGGAGTCTGGGTGTGAGCGCAGAGCCCCGTGTGGCGGGAGGCCCTCTGCTGCCCCAGGTTGGGATCCTCGGAGACTGTCCAGGGGTCAGCGGGAAAGCTGGGGTTGGGGGCTGCGAGCCTGGCCCATGAGAACTGTCACAGGGTGACCCTCCTGGCAGCCATAAATACCCACTCACAGAGCACCAAGAATGCCCCAGAGCCCCGAGGGAGAGCTGGGCTTGTCCCCGTTTTCCAGGAATAAAGGCTGAATGCTCGTGGGGTGGGGCAGGAGGGTCTGGCCTACGGCACCAGCCAGGCCAGGCTCAGTGTCCGCCCCCCTGGGTGTTGGGGCTTATCTGCAGGAAGCTGAGCTGACCCGGAACATTCAGGGGCTCCTGAAGAGGACCATCCTGCAGGTCGTGAACCAGATCCGGTGGGTTGCTCCGACCCACGCTGACCCCTCAGGCTAGCCCCGGGGCAGGACCTCGGGGCTCTGGCAGGCAGATGGTAGGTCCTCAGAGCCGGGCCAGCGCCCATGCTGAACTTCCACCCAGCGGCTGCTCCTGGCTGCTGCTGACCCCCAGGACCCATGTGGGGAAGAGGGGCCTTGCTGGGAGCTGCCCCTCCCGCACCAACGCTGGTGCCACCCCCAGGCTGAACCGGGAACACAAGCAGACCTGTGAGCTGGACTGGTCAGACAAGGTGGAGGCCTACAACATCGACCAGACGTGTGCCGGCTACAGCAACCAGAGCACGGAGGTGCAGGCCCACCCGCACTCGGCCCGGCTGGAGGAGAGGTAGGCAGGCCAGCACAGCCCGCCTCGCCCACTGCTCAGCTCGGCCCCTCCCCAGCCCACTGCATCGTCTACTGGCTCCTGGCAGGCGAGCAAGCACCCTCCCGGCATCTGCGGGGTGCACAGAGGGGGACTGTGGTGGGCAGCAGGGCCCAGGGGCACAGGGATGGGGCGGGGAGGGTCCAGCCTGCGTTACCAGCACAGCCAGCGGGCTGTGGGACTGTCGCCCACGACGAGCTCAGCAGAGACCGGGCACTGGGGCGCTTGGGGGGCATGAGGCCACAGGCTGTGGGCCCCGACAGGGCCATCGGCGCCCCTGTGACTGCGGCTGCCTCGGCTCCTCGCCTGCCTGCA